CTCCTTACCTTCACTAAAATCCATATGCTATAAACAATTAATTTAACTTTTCTTAAAGCATTTTTGGGTAACAGTGTATTCCGTAAATATATTTTCCTAGAAAGTATGTGGTTTTAAATAAAACTTGACTTTTAAATTTTTTGCTGAGAGAAATCCACAATAGTAAAAACAATTTCTAAGTTCTGGAATTTAAAGTTAGATAAATTACAAGCATTTTATCTAGCTTAGTTAACATAGATTTCATAGATGTTAGGGCTGGAAGGGACCTTGTGAGATCATCAGGTCCAGCCCCCTGCCAAAGGGCAGGAAGTCAGTTGGGGTGAGATGACCCCAGCAAGCTAGGCTTCCAGGCATTTCTTGAATGTATCCAGAGTAGGTGCTTGCACTACTTCTGGGGGAGTCTACTCCAGACTCTGGAGACTTGGAAAGTAAGTTTTTCCTTATGTCCAGTCTAAAAGGGTCTTCCAGCAGTTTGTGACTGTTAGACCTTGCCTTCCCTTGGGGTGCCCTGGTCAACAGATGTTCTTCCAGTTCCTGATGCACACCCCTTTTATACTCACAGGCTGCCACAAAGTCCCCCTGAGCCTTCTCTGCTCCCGGCTGAAGAATCCCATGCATCTCAGCCTTTCCTGATAAGGCCTGCTCTCTTGACCTCTAATCATATGCGTGGCTCTCCTTTGAACTCTCTTAAACTTCTTCACATCCTTTCTAAATTGTGGAACCCAGAATTGGATGCAGTACTCCAGCTGTGGCCTCACCAAGGCTGGGTAAAGTGAAAGGATGACTTCTTGGGTCTTGCTTCAGAAGCATCAGTAGATGCAAGCCAGAGTTTATTTGCTTTGCCAGCTGCAGCATTGCATTGGTGGCTCATGTTCATCTTGTGATCAATCATGATCCTCAAGTCTCTTTCAGTCATGGTACTAGTGAATATAAAACTGCCGAGCCTATAAGTATGATGTGGGTTCTTCCTCCTGAGGTGGAGCACCTTGCATTTCTCTGTGTTGAATGTAATCAGGTTTTGATCTGCCCACCTTGTGAGCCTGTCCAGGTCAGCATGAATCCCCAGCCTATTTTCTAGTGTGACTTGGTGTCATCTGTAAATTTAGCCAGTCCGCTTCTGACAACCAAATACAGATTATTATGAATATATTAAAAAGTACTGGTCAGAGTACCAAACCCTGGAGGACACCATAAGTCACCATGCACCATGTTGACTCGATTCCATTGACTATTACTCTGGGTCTGACCACAGAAACAGTTCCCCAGCCATTAGACCATAAGGCTGTCAAGGCCGCAATTCCCCAACTTTACCATGAGGACATCATGGGAGGCCAAGACAAAGGCTTTTTTGAAATCCAAGAATATGACATCAACCACTTCTCCCTTGTCCATGTGATGCATCGCCTGGTCATAAAAGGAAATGAGGTTGGTCAGGCAAGACCTACCTGCAACAAAACCATGTTGGCTCTCTATCAGAATGTTGCCTTCCATTCACCTGTTGTTGATGTTTTCTCTGATAATTTTTTCCAAGATCTTTCCAGGGATTGAGGTCAAACTGACTGCCCTATAGTTCCTTGGATCTTTCTTCCAACATAATGGCCCTCGTTCAGTCTTCTGGAACCTGTCCCAAGCACCATGAGTTCTCAAATAACCTGGCCATTGGTTGTGCTCCGATGTCAGCCAACTATTTTAGCATTCTTGGGTGCATTCCATCTGGGCCAGTTGACTTGTGGATGTCCAGCCTCTCAAGCTGTTCCCTTACAAGATCTTTACTAATTATAGGCATATGATTGCCCTTACCCTGGTAATCCCTGGGTCCTGTCAGGCAGGGTGATCCCCTTGGGCTGGTGGAAAACTGATGCAAAGTAATCATTGAGAAGATTAGCTTTTTCTGTGGTGTTGGTTGTCAGCTGCCCCATTTGGATCAGCAGGGGTCCAATGTTGCCCCATTTTTTCCCCTGACTTCCCATGTATCTGAAGAAGGACTTGTTCTTGATTCCCATAGCCAGTTTGAGTTCAGTTTCAGCCTTGGCTTTTCTGGTGTGTTCCCTAGAGGTGTGGGCCAGTGCTGCATAATGCTCCTTAGTGGTATTTCCCAACTTCCATCCCCTGTGAGCTTCTTTTTTCAGATATAGAAGGTCCATTAGTTCCCTATTGAGCCAAGGGGGTCTCCCAGCCCTTTTGCTACCTTTCCTACAGGCTGGAATGGACTTCCTTTGTGCTTTTAGGATCGTGTCCTTAAGGAGTGACTGCTCATAATAGACTCCCCTCCCTGTTAGACTGTGATCTCTCTGGGTCTTGACAACCAATCTTCTGAGCTTGTGAAAGTCAGCTTTCCTTAAGTCAAGGATTTCTGCATTGCTGACTGATTTGCCAGCTTTGCGATGGATACAGAAAGTGATCAACTCATGATCACTGTCACCTAGCTTCCCTTTGATCCTCAGGTCGCTCACTAGATCATCCCCTTTGGCCAGAACCAGATCCAGCAGCGCCTTACCTCTTGTTGGCCTGTAGATTTCTTGAGTCAGATAGAGCTTGTCAGTGCAAGTGAGGAAGCTTTGTGACCAGTCAGGTTTGGCCGAGTGCTCTTCCAATGAGATGTCAGGGTAGTTGTAGTCTCCCATGACTTAACAGATAAATGAGTGAACATTTCCCTTATTACTGAATGAATTATGGCTTCAAAGAAATTCAATTACAAAACAATGTCCATAAAACACACTGGAAAAACTGAAGTGAAAACAAGAAAATATTTTGCTGAATTAAACCTCTGGTACAATATGCTTAAATAATGTTCTTGGTATGCTACTTGGTTTCTATAACTATTGTGCAGTTGCAAACAGAGGTGCCTGAACATTTTGATAAAGACTACCCTCTGGGACAACCTTTAATTGATAAACCGCAAGCATTTCCAGCATATATTATGGTTGTTGGTGAAGGCATTGTAAATAAGGCAGCTTAAATATATTCTACAAAAATAAAATATTTAATTGTGGAGAGAAGTCAGAATTCCGTGTGACCCTGAGTGTAAGCATCACTGATTTGAATGCTAGATTTTGTGCTCTCCCTTATCCAGCTCAAGAATTAAAGAATTTTATGTGACATTCCTGATGTGTTGATCAATAAAATGACAACAATCATTTACACTGAAAGTTTAGTGCAGTTCCAAGAATCTGCATTAACCAAGCTGGGTGGTTGTAGCAGAATCAATAGACAACCTCTTACTTAGTGAAGTGCATAAATGAAGTATGGCAAAATTTTCAACAGCCAATGAATATAGATTAAAAAAATAAAATCCATAAACAAGAATCTGTTCTGGAAACTATGCAATGAAATTATGTGTGAAAGTATAAAGCACAATAAAACCTTAAAAGTATGAAAGAAATCCTGACTTTAATTTTTATTCTTTAACTTTTTATTTACACTACTAGTTCACAGCCAGCACTAATTTTAAGTACTGCTGCAAAAGAGCTTTGTAAATTTACTGTCATGTGTTCTTGTGGTTCTGCCAGCTCCATAGTGTGATGTTATTTTAAATCCCTCCCTCTATTTCCCTACCCACTAATGGTATGTGGCATTTAAAAATTTCCTAACTAGCTCCTTTGCATTATGGTTTTGATTTTCAGTCTATCAATACTACTAGGAGTCAACTGCCTTTAATTTAGTACAGTAGATGAAGGCAACTGAACTTATTTTTTATTTATGATCTACCATGTTTGTGTTTATGCTGTAACATACCCAGTTGTTAACATGCTGCGGAATTCTAATTCATTTGCTTGTAATTCAGAAGGACTGTCATACAGCAGCTTAAGTTGAACCAAAAATTATTTAAAACATAGGTTTTAAACAGGGTACCTAAAAAGAGTAAATTGTATGTGATTCTGTTCAGTCCAATTCAAATAATAGCATATTTTATTGCTTTCAATTTTTTCAACTGCTTTGGATGTTCCTGAGAGAATTTCATGAAAAATTATGCTAAAATAGAATATAGGCCTACACATTTTTTTCTCTCTTTCCTTTCTTTAACAACTACCTACAGTATAACCTCTCCCAATAATCTAATTAAACACAGGATATTCTCATATATTAAATAATAACATGCAATTCAATATTCCTTTGTATTCATGTCTGATAAACCAGAATGATATTTCTAAAATGAACTATAATTATCAAAAACTACAACATCAAAGTGGAACTAATACACCTTGACAGGTCTTCATTTGGGATGTAATCTCTTCCTTGGAGTAATAAGAGCATTTCTTAGTCTGTCTGAGGGAAGCAAAAAACCAAAACTTCTTTAAAAAAATCTATAATTTCTGCAACCGGGAACTTAATTATTTTAATTAATTGATCTCATGAATGATTCTCATGTAAAGTAATTTGATCATTCCTCACTTTACTCTGAAAAACAGCTGCTTTTTTTTCTAATCACTGTACACATAAACACATAACTGTCAAATACAAACCACAGCAATGTGATAACTATATTAATGGGTGGTAGAAATCTCTAGTATTTGAGCTATTGGTTTTTCAGTCTCTGTTCTCTGTTTCTAATAAACTGGACATATTAAATGTAATCAGTTTATTAATTTTACATTCTATTTTTGATGCATTCCCCTGGCAAAAATTGATCATCTTAAATATTTGTGAAGTAAAAACGTAACAGCTCAAGATAAAAACAAATGTTATATGCCCTTGAACTCATAACACTGCAATAAGCAATTACCTAAAAGAAGTAAAGAAACCACCCACACTACAGCACTGTGGCTTTGTTCCTTATCTTCAAAGAACAAGCCACTTGCATCTGAATCAAATCCTTTAAACAATACCAGAACACTCAAACATCAAAGCACTTTCATTTTCTCCAGTTATTTAATTTAATTAGAGCTAATACAGACATGGATTTAGACAGTGATTGCTGTTGTAGAAAATCCTCAGGAAACACATTCAAGAAATTAATCAATTTTAGTTTTAATTTTGTAAAGTTTTATTCCTCTCTATACCTGACAGGAGCTCCTCTGCTCTGTGCAGGTTTCAGCAGGACTGTCACAGTGCTGTCAGTTTGATTCAAAGGTGTTTCCAGCTCATACGGTGGCATAGATGGTGCTAAAACAAACAAAACAAACAAAACAGAGGCAAAATATGCTCATTATTTCCATATTTGTTCGATTTTTTAATGAACTGTATCTTTACTTTAACAGTTTATTTAAAAAATGTGTCACTACATTTGATGCATTGGTTCACCTGTAAGTACTACTACCTCATGTGGACAACATTTAACACTGAAAAGCAAGAATAGTGACAGATTATCCCTCAGATAAGACCTGGACCTTGATTTTGGAAAGCAGAGTGTAGAAATGTTTTTTTTTCTAGAGATGTAGCTGACTGTCTAAGATAGAGTTAAGTCCTAACAGTGACAGAGTCAAGGCTAGACCCCTGGAAGGCTAGGCTAGTAGAGAGCCTGTTACTTTACTGTAATTAGTTTTTTTATATAAGTTCCTAGAAATAACAAAATGTTGCTTTCATGCCACAAGTCTCATCAAGCTACTGCAAACTATTACAGACAACAGCATTGTCACACATTCACTTGCAATGGTGGCAAATTATTGAAACGTTGTGATGTACGTGTTGGAGTCGTGGCATACGCTCATTTGCAACAAATGCAAATCACTGAAATGTAGTAACCTAAAGTTAGTACAGGAGATGCTTGCCATTTGCAGGGGATACATTCTCATATCCCCTGCGAATGGTGAAATCTGTGAATAAGGCACTGCATTCATGAACACCGTCTGCGTTCATGAATGCAGCGCCCCTGGAGGCTGGGGGCAGGGCACGGCTGCACTGGTGATGGTGGCAGCGCGGTGGTGGCAGTGGGAGTCTGGTGACGGCAAGCACGGAACTCCGAGGAGCTCCTTTAAGTGTATTTAAGATGCAGGTTCAGCATTCATGAATACTTGAAACCGTGAATGCCGAACCCACGAATAGCGGGTGTTAAGAGATAAAACTTGCCTGAAAGGGAACAAATCTTCAACAACCATAAGGCACTTAACACATGCTAAACTACTTGAATATACATCTGCTTGCATTTTAACTGCACTCAGTAAGTGTTAAATTGAACATGTGGCATCACCTTTAGTTGGCCTGAGAGCCACCTCAATTGCCTCCTCCAGCACAAGTTACTATGCTCAGTCAATAGCTACTACAAATTTCTGAGACAGGACTAACAGAGGACTCGGCCCTTTCTGATGGCTAGATCAGAGAGAAGCAGGAGCCATTTTGGCAGCCATTAACGTGCAGCATCTTCATGTTTTTATTTCAGGAAAGAAAAAGCAGCTTTGCTGCTTAGGAATAACACCGCTATTTTGGAGGGCTGATTTTGGGAGAAAAGATTTTTTATTAGACTATGATGGATCATTTTATCCATTGTTGCAATTAAGACAACTTTGTAGTTAAACATGGCAGCTGTTTTAACAGTGAATAGTAACAGTCCTCAACAGTTTTGACAGGAAATCAAGGATTTCTTATTCAACTGAAAAGGAAGTAGAGATTTAGAAAAATTAAAATCCAATTACCTCAACTGGAATTTGGCCAGCATGCAGCATTAATACCTCATTTGTTGTAGAAAGTACTATGGGATATTTACATTGTTAGCACTAAGAATACTGGTTTTACATCATACCAAAAAACTGTGACAGCAACAAATGGCCCTAAAGCTTCATACTGGGACGTTTGCTTGGCACACAGAATGAAAAAAAAAGTTCTACTACCTGAATCTTCAGCACTATTTCCCATAGCACTTTAAACAGGGGTTTTAAAGTATCATAAGGAAGGTAGGCTCAAGTCTCTTTAAATTCCATAGGACCTGTGTGGCTAACACCCTTAGCTCCTTCAAAAATCCCAGCCATAAGGCTTTCCTGGCGATGTTCCATAAAGCATTGATAAACCTAATCCTGGTTGGATTGATGACTGTGACCAGATGGGTTCCAAGTGGTGTTGGCTGTATGGAGCAATTTCACTTCAAAACATGTGTAATGCAATGTAAACTCCTAGAACTGTTCTCTATGGCTAGGGACAGGCATTACACATAGACTGGTTTAAGTGATCAGAAACTAGTTTAAACCTGTAACAGAACAGATATTCAGTGCACATAAACCAGTTTGATAATGGCTGAAACCAGTTTGAGATAATCCTGGTTGAAAAGCATCAGACTTAACTGATTTGGCTCAAACTGGTTTATGCAATGTCTGTCACAGAACCCTTGCTGGTTTAAGATAAATCAGACACCCCGAGCATGCTCTCTGGGCTGAGTGAGGCTCTCTGCTCCACACTAGGGCTGGCCCCTTACCTCTGCTCCCTCCCTCCCCCTCACCACTCCCTGCTAAACATGAATTTCCCCCTTCACTCTGCCCTGCAGAGAGGTGTCTGTGTATTAGCTAGCAGACCACATGCTGGCTACAATCCATGCTGAATCAACAGGCAGAATCAACAGGTAGCTGGTAATGTCCCTCTGTTGTTTTTTAATTGGATGATAAACACTGTTATCAATTCCCTGCTAGGCTAATCACAGTTTCCTGCGTGAGCCTGGCCACACACCCCTCAGCTCCATGTTGTGGAAGGAAGGGAGGGCTGCTCTAGCTCCCTCTGGCTTCTAGCCTGAGCCACTGCAGGCATATGCCTGCATTTCTGGGATGTCTGTCTGGTTACAAAACTGATTTAGCCTAGCCAGGTTAAACTAACCTGTAAAGATTGAATCAATTCAGGCTCAGGCTTTTTGAATGTCTGTCCCTAGCCTATATCTCAGTTCTTCTCTTCTCTGAATAGTACCTTCTTCCCATTCTACAAAGGCCTGGCTCTGCCAACCTAGTTCACACTTACAGTGCAAGCAGCCAGGCAAATTTCTTGCAAACAAAAGTTCTACTCAACATCATGGAGTAGAGCACTGGACACAGTCTTTATTTTCTGACACTAATGATATTCATGGCTTTTATTAAGAATGTTTCTTAGCTGATAATCATGAACTGAATATATCCCTACAATAGCTTGTATGAATAATATTTTCTAACTTCCATTCACTGTCCTTTCTTCAAGTAATTCATTGCTACATTTCTGAATAAAGCTTTCAATGTTGATCACTCCACAACAAAGGCAGAAAAGGTGACAATGAGAATATCAGGGAAACAAGATGATAAACAAAGTCCCCTGGTTAGCTTGCTTTACATTTTCCAAAAAGAGAAGACCAATAAAAAAATAACTAATGCAAGTTTTTATGAATATTCTTCCAAGACCACATGGCATCTGACTATTGGCTTAATTCCCAGAAACATGGTCAAAATATTGAATAGACAGAGTTTTCCATTATAGAACTTTGTAACATATTTGGTTATCCATCACGTATGTACTTTAGCATACGTAGTAGTATTGCATTCCATCAACCAAGAGGAATAAAATGTTCCTGTGCCTAAGACAGCTTTAAAATATTGTACAGAGGCTTTTAGAAATGCCATAGTCATCTTTCCCACTATCTGAAAACCACCCGTCTTCACATTCCTCTCTAATGCAGTTTCATATCCACTTCAGCCCAAGCATTTGTTAGGACAGCATGCAGCCTGGCAGTTCCCTACACTTTTTAAGCTAATGCTAGATGTTTATCATTTTTTGCTATAGTCTCAATTGTTCATGGCTCATTAAAGAGATTTTCCAGCACTGCTACTGTACTAATTTAGAATCGTGTCAAGGCTCAATGAGCTCTGAATGGAACCCTCAGCATCATGTCCAAAATACCCTATGCTAAAAGTTGCAACAGCTGTTAACACTGGCTCCACCCACATAATTCATATGGTTTTGTGGATGATAAACTGCAGTTCCAAACAAGAATTTCAAAGTAGGCATGAACTGATTGATTTTCAATCACCTGAAAGTTTTTCTAACACATTAGTGTGTTTCACTTTATCTAGCACTTTCAGGGAAAAAAAAAAACTTATTTTTTCTTTCTGATGAATGTAAAAGTTTGGTTTTTTTAAAGGTAAAGAAAAAAAAAACCCTCAAAAAAAAAAAAAAGCCAAGAGTTATGACCATAAGGGAACTGATACAGTCTTTAATTAAATACCTGATATTTTGGTGGTGAATTGACTTGTGATTGGAGGCCCAAACCCCTTAGCTGTGCTGGCTCTAATGGTAAAAGAATACGTGGTTCCAGGATTAAGTCCAAAAAAAAAGTAGTGGGTTTCATTTCCTAGCTTTAAGACTCTTCCACTTTGATTGGATAAATCTATTTCTGGATCAAAGGAGCTGACTGCCTTGTAGGTGATCTGCAAAAGAATAAGAAAGTTATAAAGCATCTCAAGGAGATGGACAAAGATTTCATCTTTATCCAGTAAACCCTTCTGATGTATGCACTGTCAGACATTTTATGATAAGCTATCTTACTCTCTTATACTCTTCAAATCCCGAATCCAATGAAGGGACATAGGGACTCAGCCAAAACTGTTATGAGTTATTACTTGTATAGATACAGGGACTTAGAGGCAGCTAGATTACAACAGTAAAGGATAGTTTCAGGCTTAATCTAATACCTTTAAGTTGTTGGCTTTCACAATGTTATTTTTTCTGAAGCCATATTACTGCTGGGTTTGAACAAAAAAGACAACTGGGAAACAGATAAGCAAGTGACAAAGGTATAGTTTCATTTCTGATCTTTTTTTAGTATAATTACACCTTGCTCTGAATAAGATTATCTTCACTAGATGACAAGGGGAGTTTTAGGTGAATTCTTCACAAATAAGATGACACTTATATTTGAGTCTGAAGCTTATGTATTATATTTGCTATGTTGTAAATTTTCAGGTAGTACAGTAAACCAAACTCAGCTCTTCAATTTGGGGAAAAATATCTTCAATAATATATGCAATCCAAATGCTGTATTTTTAGTTCCTTCCTTTCACTTTTTTTGTGTTCTCATTAAAACCTCAAGTCCAGAATAAAATGCTGTACAATTTTCTCGTAGTAAATTATTGACTTCTTCAAGATCTGAATTAACTTTAAAAAAGAACTCTCAAAAATAGTTAAAATGTAAAAATAACAACTCAATTTCCCCCTTTTAAATAGGTAGTTGTAGTTATAAATTTTCACATATTAACTTGAGCACCATTAGTATATAAAAGGATAATTGACACTCTCTGTTAGATTTACACCATATTATTATAATTAAGAAGACATCTGAAGCAATATTTAGATAGAGACATTTAAGCTTTGGCAAGGAACTTTTACTGTGTATATTAACTATGGGACTGTGAGACAGGTGCAGTATGCATCACTAACCCTTCTTAAATGATTAAATATTTGCAACTCCCTAACATCTCTAAATCAATGAAAATATATGTTTATGGGCTGCCTTATAAGAACAGAATCCTGGGCACGTGTTAGTGCCCAGGAAAACAGATCAATTCAAGACAAAATACAAATACATTTTTGTCAGGAGTTGCACTTGGATGAGGAATCTTTAAATTTTTCATGCAAGGACTGATCTAAAAAGCTTTCAAACCAAACCAACCCTCTTCATTTTTGTCAGGAGACAGAGACTGAGACAGAGCTAGGAAAGAGTTAACCAGCAAACACAGGGACTCTTAATTAGATTCCTCAATATCCCCTTCCAATTTCATTTAAAATGTAACCAGGAAGTCACAAATTCTGTGACCCATGTGCTAGCTGTTAATTATGTTTGTTTCATGAAATTTTGAATTGGCTATATGGCTATTGCACTATAAGGACCTAAATTATTCCACTATAAACAACCCATTCATTTAAAAAAAAAAAGAGTAGCTTGCTTGGTTACAATTACAATACACTGTTCCTGTATTTTTTCAGTATGCTCCTCTCCCCGTTTAGTAAAGCTTTATCTTCTCCAAACTGTCTTATTTTGAAAATATCTAAAAAACCTCCCACTGATGCAAATATATGTCTTGGAATGGTCAGGGGGCTAATTTAGAAAAGGCCATGTGGGCACTTTCATCGCTGTGTATGCAAGCTGACTCTTGGGAGGGTTTACTGGCTTTTTGCTTGTTTACAGTAGCACTCCTTTCATTGCTACCAACTCAGGAACTACACTGATGTAAGCAGAGTTGGAAGATGTTTCAGAATAAAGAACCTTGTGTAGACCACACTATACCAGTTAATACCAGACCTACATTTAAAGGCTCATTTTTATTTGCTGAGTTTTTGTTTTTCAAAAATTGTTGAAACCATTGGATTTGCAGTAGGGACTAGACCCTTGAATCATTTTTTGCTCTGCTTTGCACAATAGCAACCAGGAAGTTTCTCGCATAGGCACAGTGCTCCTGTGATACTACGAGTGCCAACCTCTGAAACCAAGCCACATTCCAGCAAAAACCTGCTGTGACATTCAGCTGGCCAGGTCCACTACCTACTTGGCATGTTTAGAAAGAACAAGACCTGAGGTGATTGAGTCAAACTGATAGTAGGCCTATGCATGTTCATGAAAAAAATCAAAGTAATTTTAATGATATCTGATTTCTACTGCGATTACCATCTTCTCTTTGATTGCATTCTTAATTAACACCTAGCATGAGGAGATATTCATGTTTTCTTCCCTTTGCACTAGTTTTTCACTGTTAAAGTGCTACTGGAGTACTTTGATGTGCAAAAGCTCTTCTGTTCCCAAACACTTTGGAAGGATAGTTAGGCTGTTAATTTCCTCTTTTTAACAGGTCTGTGCAACACCTCCTAGAGTTGATGTATACTATATATGTGTATTGAGAAAAGAGTTTCCCCTCAAGCTAGGTACAGACATTTGGGAGTGTTAGAGGGAAGTTAAATCAATTCAAAATGGCCATCTGATATCAGGTAAGTTGGGAGTGTTGGAGGGGGGGCAAGCGGGCTGGGGGGAAAATTCGGGGTTTGCCAGAGGATGGGTGGGCAGGCAGGTGTGATCCATGGGTGTGGTGGGGAGGCAAGCATGACCCATGGGGAGTTGCATGGGTCCAGGAGCATCTGGCTGGATCAACGCGGTTCAGTGTCTGCAGGCGGGCTTGGGTTATTTTTAGCCCTGTGACCCTCACTGGCAAACCTACCACATCCCTCCTGCCCCTCCCCCAAAAAGGATTTACTTGCTCGGCTCTGGCAGTGGCAAACACTAGCAAAAATGGCTGCACCTGGAGCTTTGCAGGATGGGAGTTGAGGGGGACTTGCAGGGGGGCAAAAAACAGCTAGGTACAGGCAGGGGCAGGGGAGGGAGTAAAAGGTACAGCCCCAGGAATGGGGCCAGTGGCTGGATTTCCCAGCCCTGGGGCTATACAGGGAAAGGGTACAGAAGTTCCATGCACCAGTTTGACCTAAATGAAGTAAGTTTCATATGACATTGATCCTGGTTTATCTTAAACTGGGATCTACAATTTCTAAACCGGTTTGTGTTCATGGAATGTCTGTACTGTTACAGGTTTAGATTGATTTCTGGTTGCTGAGACCAGGTCTTTAAGTGTAAGGTCGGCACCAAGACAAGCCAATTTTAAATCGGGCGTCCATTTTGAACCTGATTTAACATCCCCAAATGTCTGTACTTAGCCAAAGAGTGTAAATTTCTCAGCAATCAGGTTATATATGTGTGATTTTAAGCAGGAACTTTTTGCTAATGTATGTTTTGTACAAATAAGACCTAAGAATCAGCAAAGTAACAATATTTATTAACTAACTATTCTGACATGCAGTTGTTTGAGATCGTTCACCATGGTTTAAGGTTAGGTCTATCAAAGCCAACTCATACATTTCCATAACATTTTACCCCTTCATAATAACTCAGCCTACAAAACTAAATCAATAGTTAAAAGCATTAAACTTTTTTTCTTATATCTCATTTGGAGCCTCTTTTTTTTTTTTTTTTTTCATTTTAAAATT